GTAATAAATTGGTGGGAGGAGGGACAAGCAACGAGGCGCTCCAATCAATAGTACTGTCCAGTGCCTACATTTTCAACGGGATGTCTAAGAAATATGGTAAATATCTGTGGAGATATTCAGACTCAAAAAATATATATACTTCTAAGATCTAAAAAATACTTTTCTTAGAATTACGCACTGGACTGTGATCTCAGCCAACCCAACTCCAAAGTGCAACCAAACCAAAGACTGTGAAGCTTGGATTTTGCTTTCCTCAGTGTGAAATGTGAATTTGAAGCTGAAAATTGGAAGGAATATCGAAAAACTGGAGGCGGCTAAGTCAATTGTTGATAATTTATGAGTTATAAGAGCAGTAGTCCAGGTGTTTGGGCACTGGGCGAATTTATGGATGTTTTAAGAAAAGCGAGTAAGCATTTTTGTTAAAAAGCTAAAAGCTTGTTGTGATGGTGAAAGGCGTGATTGAGTCGAAGTGATTAATGCTAGCAAATCATTTTCCTCTTCCCTGTTTTTTTTTTTTTTTTTTTAACAGTATTAGAAATAGGAAAGCTTTTATGTGGATTCTTTATTTGAGGACTTTTTTATCACCTCATTTTTGCTTCAGCTTCCTTGTAGCAAATCACCGAGCGCTATTTTGTTTAAACTTGCTCTTTAGTTTTTCTAATTTGGTGCCGGCGGGCATGGCGCAGTGAAAGTAACATTGTTGTATGGTAAGTCGGGGGTTCGATTCTGCCGATAGTTAATCATGCGTTTCGACGGAGAATTTGTATTGGCATATGTGTTGTGGTCAAAACCGCCATCAGCTTGCTTCTAAGCAACCCTTGAAAGGGGGAGCCGTCGACAGCTTTGTCAGTGACTAGTTGCTACTGGCATTTAGGATCATTCGAACTGTTTGCAAGTGCCTCCGCTTTTCCGAGAGATCGATTGCGGAAACAGTTTTGGTAGTTGGCTTCACTGAATGCAGCGTTGTGACTGTACTTGGGAGAGAGGGGACTCTTGTTAATTTTATGTAGATGTTTAACTAGGAATTAGTATTGGGAAATGTGAAGAATAAGAAGTGAAAAGATAGTAAAAGTAGAGGAGTTCAGAATTTTCTGAAGTGGCACGCTCCTGCTTTTTCGAAATTTCAAATTTGAAGCTTGGGATGAAACACACGTATCAAGGATGCCTTATAGCTGCGCTAATAGTTTTACATTTTCTTTGTAGCGCATAAATGGAATTGAGAACTTATAAGCATCGTTTTTGATTATGATTTTCGAAATAATTTATGATCGAGGAATTTGAAATTTGCTATTTTTATGCTTTTCCTTTGTATAGCTTGGGAAAAGCAACAGTAGCAGGTTTTTGGATAAGACGAAACTGCAAAAATTTCATTAAACTGGATAAATTAGGCCTGATACTTAGGTGTACACAAGTAATCCTAGGCTCATATTAGCCGGTTATAAAGTCGAGGAAGTGAAGTTCGTTCCAGTCAAGATACTGCCATTGATTCTTATTAATAATACAGAAGGGAGAGGGGGCGGGAGGGGAGGAGGGGGAGGGGGAGTTAATTTACAAATGTATACGTCAAGAATATTTATTTGAAATATCTGGATCAGCTGCAGTTCATGGCATGATTTTTTTGCTATCTGGGGAATTTTTCCAGTTAACGTATCTAATAAAGTGGACTTGTGAGCATCATCATTACTAAAGCAAGGCAGTAATACGATTCTTGCTGAATATGCTTCCGTTTCCACATGTTATGTTGTTCCTAGTACTGGTGAGCAAAATTAACTGTAACTAGAAATAAGCTTTTTCCTGAATTCATTTTTTTTTTTGCATTTTTTTAATGCTTGGAGGTAAAATTCCCTCTGTGTGGGGTCAAATTTTGATAAAGGCAATCGCACACGTCAAATGTTGACACCGAAAAATGTAGGCACAAAGTGTGCATGTCGTATTTTTCATTTAGTTCATCGTATTTTAAGGCAAAACGTAGACAAACATATTAGTCACTCATTTCCCCTCATTTATGAGGTCTCCAAAATAACTCAGTCGCTGCTCCATCGATGTTTCCTCGCTTGCTTAAATCACAGTGCTGGACTTGGGAAGATTACGGTTCATAAACTTAGCAGTAACGAAAATAGGATGTGTCTAAAATCAAATTATAACAGTGATCAGTTTCCAGGCAACAGTTTGGCGCCGAATTCGGCTGTTGTGACCAGGTGGACGTGGAAGTACTACTGCTCGCTTACTGTCGCAGTCATCTGGGCTCCTGCTGGGCAATCCTTGGTAGTGGCAAAGGATTGTCACTAGGTTGTACCCAGCTGCGACACTGCAACATGAATATGGCAGCCATTGTGCGTGCGCTTGCACCTGAAGCGCTTACTGTACGATCTTCACGTGTTTCCAGCGCCTCTGAAT